TTTTTGCACGTGCATTTTATTCGTAATCATTTGCCCAAATTCCCGTTATGCTTATCCAGCTAAAGAAAAAAATCCGAAATTTGTTTGGCCGATCATCTCGTGATTTATCATAAAATTTATCCGTATCACCCCATCTAAAAAAATATTCTGATTACGTACTTTTTCTATTTTCGAATTTATGGGGCTTATTGTTATGCATAGCTAATTTGTGAGACGGGGCACAAGTAGAAATTGCCATTTTTCATTTTTCGACCGGGGCGCCCCGGCTGAAATTAGTCCTAACCAAAGTCAGTCAATTAACTCATGCCACATATATTTTTGAAAAAATTTGAATGCGTATACCGATTTCCGGATCTATGCATGTTTCAACGGTTAGACGGAGAACTGAAAAACGTCCCTGATCGTATGACAGGAATTTTTTTCAAATATCATCCAAAAAAATTTTTTTACGTACCTCTGACAAATAATCTTCAACCCGGAAACTTTACCGTATATTTGTATAACCTATAGAAGCATTATGTCTGAACAAAGTACCCCCATTTCTACAGCTACAACAAATAGTGAAAAGCCTGCTCCCACATTGGCTGAGTTTGTTCGGAAGTACAATACCAAGCAACTTATCAAATTTTTGCGTGAGAATGAAGACGACCTGCAACTTAACGACGCTCATTTTGAAATCTTACGCAATGAAGAGGTCACAGGTCGTGTTTTTCTTAATTCAACCAAGCAAGATTTTATAGATAATGGCCTGAAAAGTGGACCCGCGAAAAGTCTCGCAGACTTCGCCAAGGAAGTCAAAGAGAAAAAACTAAAAAGCTTTTCATCGTGCAAGACTAAGCAAGAGGTGAAAAAGGTTTTTAACAAGTTTGGATACGAAGATGCTGACATAACATCGATTTTGCCATTCAAACCAGGTATGTTAAGACATAACGTTTTAATTTTTTTGATTAGAGATGGGCTGAACTTTTAAACTGTTTATTTTTTATAGAAATTGTTGACATTGATAGCAATGACGAAAGGCTTAAATTCTGCATAGATGATATAAAACAGAAGATAGAACTCTATGGTCCAGTATCTGAACTTAACGAAGCTGAGCGTTGTCATTATATTTCTCCAATAATTCATTCATCCATCCATATCGCCAGGAAAATTACCAACAAAACAATAATTCCAAAATGCCAGTTTGAGATAATTGGTGATGAAAGAACGGGTCGAGTTGATTACGTTGTTAAAGTCAAAGATAATACTGGAAATGACGAATTGATAGCAATAACTGAAGCAAAGCAGAGTGATATATTAATGGGATTCGGACAAAATGTTTTACAACTTAACGCTTCTCACCATAAAAATTCAAAAAAACGAAATGCAGAAGAGGCATTTGGTAAAGATGCTTTTGATTACTTATATGGAATCGTTACTACAGGTATATTTTGGTTGTTTTCCGTAAATATCTATTATATTAAGGCGCACATAAACTGATGAATATCGATTTATTACTGTTAGCAACCAATTGGTATTTTATTTTATATACCCCAGAAAGGTTTTACCGTATAGAAAGTGAGTATAGTATTAGAATTAACAGAGATGCTTTGAAAGATGATTCGGAACTATGTAAAGATGTAAAAAAAGTTGTACAGGTACTTGTTAGTCTATTGAAGGATAGGGTCGAAGTAGATGAGTCCCCTGATCGTAAAAGAGCTCGAACAAAAAAATTTATATAAAAATGTATGGAATATTGTTGTTTCATATTTTTTTCTGCAATTATTGCGTAATATAGAATAGCTAGTATTAAATTTTGCAAAATTTAATCATACAAATTACATAGTAAAAATTTGCTATATTAATAAACTGCGTAATTTACTTTGCGAATTGATTAAAAATTCTCACTTAAGTAACATAACTTTCATTTTACATATTGATATATTACTAGCTGATCTAATTTCTATGTGCAGAATTTTACATGATAAATATACTGCGATGCATAAAAATGATTTTATAAAAGTTGAATTATATATATACTTATACATATTAGGTCAAAAAAACGTGAAAAACACTTAAAATCTTAAATTCACTATAAATTATAAATATGTCAGGTATTATTTTAATAGTATGTTTAATACAGATTGTAGTCCCGAAGAATGGAGTGAATATTGTGCGACGCCCCAAGTTCATAATTTATACACGCTTAAATTCCGACTAATTTATTACCAATTTATACAATTGTATTAAAATATGAAATGGCTAGCCCTTCTTTATTTCAAAAAGAAAATATACAAACAAAAAAAATAAAAAAAAGATATGCATCAAAGAGGCGCCCTTAACAGGTCAGGTTGGCGGGGTTTACATTTGATCTAACCAACTAGCATATGTAAGGACAAAGTGATAAAAAAAATATATTTACGAGACGGGGTATATGTGAGAAAGGCAAGGAGAAAAAAACGTCACACAGGCATTGAATCATTTCAGTGATAATTTTTATAACCCTCGTAAATTTTTTTAAAGGATTTCTTTTCCTCGTCACGTTTTACTTCGAGGTAATTACGGAGGTGCGTATCGTCTTTATTTCTATACAAGATAGATAGACCTGCGCAATCAAGCAACCATTTTTCGAGCGCCAATAACGAAGAAACCGTTTTTCGTTCTCTGCTGTAATCTTCTCCAAGAATCACCTTTAACCTTCCTGTATTACCAATCTCAACTACCCTACACCCAACCTTAACATGTTTTTTCTTTTGCGCTTTAGTGTAAATATAATCCTTATCTAACCAGAACTCATCGCCTACCCTAATAACGCGAAGTTCTTCATCTGCATCCTCATCTAATCTTTCATCTGAAAATAAGCCGTTAGTACAAAAATGCGAAACCTGAAAGATCTAGAAAGCAAAATCCTTACTTCGAGTTTCATTGATTAAATCTTGAATCTTATTCTCCAACTCTTGTATCCTCTCACCCATGTTTTGAACGACCTTTTCCAAGTCGGGTGGAATAAAAACTGAATCAGGATTTCCCATGAAGATCTGAATGTAGTTATTAAGAACTTTTCCGATAGACGTTACATTTTGATCGTCTTCGAGTGGTTTACCACTCTTTAACTCGGATGGTACCTTTCGTAGAATATCAGCTTCATCGACAGGAATGTATACTTTCCATATTTTGAACCCACTTGTTATGATATTTTTTTCGCTAATAACCTTTCTCATCCTGTACGATATTAACTGTTTTAAATCTTCAATCGTATCCGTCTCGTTAACCACAACATTAAATGGTTTCTCCGCACCCTGAAGATAGCATAGAAGAGTGATTTCGGACATTTTTCGTTAATAGCTTAACGTCCAGGTTCAATTTGTCGTATTTATATTTCAATTCCCTTTCCCACGCACAAAAGACTAGTCAAGGATAATCATTGGTCAATCACTGCGGTTAATGATCTACGGTTTGCAGTATAGGGAAAAACATATCTTTTTGGCATAGCGATCACCCGCAAGACGCAAAGATAGCTCTTGTAGATCTCAAAATTGCAAAGTCCTTAGCCTTTCATAACATATGCTTCTGTCGTCACTATTTACTTATAGGGTAGGTCCTGTGTTGCGTGTAGACTTTTACATTTTTTCAAAACAAAACCGTCATGATCAGCTGGAAACTTGCTTATTTTTATACTTCACATTTGTTAGATCTAGAGAACCTGTCAGAAGAAAAATCACAAGCTTAGTAATTACGTTACCCTAACACAATACCATACCACACTTAACAAAGCAACTCCGCTCGGTCATAAGTTCCAAACACTGAGCCTATTTTGTTATTTTTTCTGGTAAACTTAACCCCCTTAGATTCGACGATCGCTTAAGGTGGGTTTAGATCTGACGATCTGGGAATTCCAAGTTCTTGCAACATATGAATTTGGACAAAACTACTGATTAAAAACATTATACGTATTACCCTTATAACCTTTTTAAGTTCCATTCTTGTCGCGAGATCTTATATAATAAGAAAATAGTCTAGATATAATTCATAATATTCGTTATAAATCAAAAAATCGACCGTGAGAAATGATTCTGCAGGAGAGTATCACAAAACCTTATATCTAATTTTGTGCGACTTGTTGAAGTACTGTTTAGAATAGGTGAAATATAAGATCCATTATGCTAAATTTGTAATACAAATGTTCATTGGATTTTGAATATTCGGTCTAAAAAAATAGTGATTGAACTTGTGCTATATGTATCTGTTGTGTTAAAATAAAGCATATATGTTTGCAGATATCAGTGTATTACTGTATGATTAACATTCTTCTTAATGTAGTAATGAACTCGATTGAGTGTACAGGCCCGATTGCATATCTGCGGGGTAAACTTGAATGATAATAATTTTAGCCATTTTTATATATATTACAAAGTGTCCAACATGTGTATTTCCTGACAATACAAAAATGAATTGCGATATTCATATGTATATAGTTAATAAAATCTGTTAGGTCTATAAGAGTCATATAATCACCAAATGTACTAATAAGTCTATTAAATTGTTAAATATGTCAGGTCTTGTTATCTTTACTATTATTGATAAAAAAGCTAAATTGGTGAAGCTCATTAATAATAGACCAGGATACGACATGAAATATGTCAACTTATATATTCTGAATTTTTATAGTATTAATGATTATCAACAATTCTTTGAAGAACTCTTTGAGACTAAAAGACAATATGATACTTTATCAGTTATTCAGCCTAATGAAACTCCACAGCAATGAGCACTCAGAGTTCGAATTCCTTTACAAAAGCTAGTCTCTGAGAGAAAGAGAAGTGTATACTATGTACATGCTCTATTTCTAGCATTCAGTAAGAGTAAATTTGTAGATCATGATTACTACTGACCTAGAATTCATAAAACTCATATGGCAATTTGTCTTGATTGTATAAAGCTTATTTAGGTTAATGATGTGAAGCTAAAAAAGAAATTTCATCACACTATAGGTAGATATGTAGAAATTCTTGAACCTAAAGACCTGATGCAAGAATATTGGGATTATGATTGTAATAAACCAAAAACTAGAGATGGTTTGGCAAGAATTATTCAAAATGTTTAGAGACAATTTCAAGAAAGAGAGCTATCAAATGCACAACTCACTTGGAACAGCTTAGCAAATAATAATACTCCAGATAATAAGAAATTTCTAGGTTTAACTCGACATAAGTAAAAAATCCTCAAACTTGAGAACAATTTAATCAATAGTATACTAAATGGATTAAATTATATAAAAACAATCTTATGATGCACAGTTCCATTATTAATAGACAATATAAAGAATATTATATTCCAGATATGATAGAATGCAAAAAGAGTCAATTGCGGATTAGATTCCAAAAGCAACTTTTAGAGATAGAAGCATAGTATTTATTTGATTTATTAATTCCTTGCAGGTACAAAATACCTATACTATTTATATAATATTTTTTGGCTATGCTAGTTTTATTGATACTCTTGAAGACATAGATAGGTAGTTGTCCACTATTTTCCTAGAGGCAGAGCCTCATTGCTTTGCAATAATGCTATTCTTGAGATCACAATTGAGAAATATATTATGAAATTTCTGGAATAGAAAATACCAATGTAAAATAAAAATCTATGAAGTGGGTTCAGCAGGTAATATATTTTTTATCTTTTGCTTTTGCCGTAACTCTATCTCTTTTTGCAAATCTAGTGGAGTATCAAACCTTAGTCAAATTGCAAGTGAATCATCCTCAGGCCTATCTAGATCAAATACAATAAATTCACCTTTGCATAAGTAGCTGTTAATAACCATTGATACATTTTTTATATCATCTGTATATCTATGACTAATTTTAGAAACATCTTCATATGAACTACCAGAATTAAAAAGTACTAAATAATTAGCATTTTCATATATAAATGTAGTGATTTTATGATATTTCTGTGCCACAAATATACATGAAATATTTTGATGTTGCCCATTTCCAAAAAATTGGCCAATTTGATTCTGTATATGTTCTGAAGCAAGACACAAATCTTCAAAAACAATTGTTGTACTTCGTTCAGGTGAAAATGCTTTTACACTAGGGATTTTTTCTGGTGATATATAGCTAAATCATATATTTTCATAGTAAGGTGCTTTCGGGGCTGTTAAAATTATGCCATACATATATCTAACGAATGCCCATTTTGGCTCGTCAGGATGATAACCACAAACTATTAAATCATCACAAGAAATATATCTCCTACTACCTTTTTTTCCTTTATATATATATTCAGCTTTATCACCGAGAAAAAGATTTGTTAAGATATTAGTCTTACCTAATTCACTTTTTCCTGTAACTATCATTCTAAAGGGCCATGTTGGACTAGCTGGATGAAATTGACAACGAGATGCAACATGTTTATTAGCTTCATCCATATCTATAAGGAATAGTTTCATAGAAGGTATTTTTGAATTTTTTTGCATAGCGGATTGGGAATCCATAACTCTGTTTTCTATATACTGGATAAAAATTTTCTTTCCCCGATAATTCACTTCACTTTGTTCGTTCATGGTCGGTTTAAGCACATTAGTGCCCTTACTCTGTAAGTATATTCCAAAAAACAAATTACTAGAGGTGATCATACTGTGGATATAATCTGGCTTCGAGTTCAAAGAACAAGAAGGCGGGGTTGGGTGAAAAATTTGCCTGTATATATACCATATAATTAATAATATTATCAAGGCAAAAATAACAAACTTAATAGAAGTAGTTTGATTCTTATTAACTGTGCTAGCACCTAATGCTATAATAGGTAATTCCTCACTCCTTTCTATTGTAATATTATGAGATCTAATCGGAGTCATATTCTTTATCTCTTAAAATTGGTTTTCTGCTTTGATTGGTTGTAACAATGACCTTTTGGGTCTAGACTTTGATATATTTTTTTCACTATCTCCACCAACCACAGATATCGAAATATCCTCTGATTTTAGACGCTCAAGCTCACTGACCTTAGAATCTAATTCAATCTTTATATTCAATCTTTATATTCACCAATTCAGCTTTGAGGGACATTATCTCAGAATCTTTTTTTGATGAGTATTTCTGAGTTAAAGATAATTCTTCTTCCAATGACTTGATTCTAGATTGGAATGAATTCGCTTCTTCCAACTTACTATAATACTTGGCTTTATACTTAGTAAGATTGGTATTTTTGCTTTTCAACTCTTTAATTTTTTTTTTGAGTTGTTTTTTAATCAAGTCATTTTGATTTTTGTCATTAATATACCAATTTAATTTTTTCTGGAGATCTAAAATCTTGTTATTTTTTTTCTCTAGCTCTTTAGTAATCACATCAGATCACGCTTCTGCAAGAGCTTTAGCATTTCTAAATTCAGAACATTTATTAACAAAAAATTCAGTTTCAAGAAGCAACTCATTGTATTGAGATTCAAGTTTATGTTCTCTACTACTATCTAATTTATATCCACGTCTTTGAAAATTTTTGGCATCAGTAGATTCACTATACAAAGTACGTATTGGTGCCATATAATCGAAAAGAATTATGTTCAAAGAAAAAAAACTAATTGCAATTTGACTTTTTACTGGTTATGAATAAAAAGGAACCCAAATAATAATTGGTATTTAACCAGGCAATAATTAGGCAGAAGTTAGTAATTAGCTGGGCAAAAATTAATACTTAGCTAGGCATAAAATAATAATTAACTAGTTTTATATGAAAATAAATCTATAATCAAGTCAGTACTAATTATTTCTCGGGTTTTGTCTGATTTGTGTCTGATTATTGCCTGATTATTACTCAGTTTTTATCCAATTACATACTAGAAATGAATAGATATTTTCTTAGATTTAAATCAGATATTTTTTTAATATCAATATATATTTTCCTAAAATGGTTAAAACCAAAGTTAGAATGATATCTTAACCCCACTGCTACTCAATTAACTTCTGAAGCAATCGAAAAAATAAGGGATGCTCATGCAAAACAGATACCAAATAGAAAACGCATTATATATGCTAATTATAAAATTGATAGTGAAAGATATGATGATATTGTAAATAGCTGGATATATCCTCAACTACCTGAAATAGAAATAACATCTATGAATTCATCTATCTCAATACCTCAACCAGAAATCTTGCTCATATATAGCTTATCAAGTGCCAGAAATCCTGAGCAAGTAATTTCTTTGAGCAAACCAGCGACAAAAAAGACTAGCAGAAAATCAGAATCAAAAACTATAAATTATTTTATTTCATCAATACCAGGGAGTGATGTGCAAGCTAGAATGAAAAATTTATGAGAATATAAAAAACAGCTTCAAGCTGAAACTTGAAAGTATCAATTCCTTTTCAAGATATTTTGCATAATCAAGAGCTTTAATAAATTCCTTTTTAATAGTTGCTTTATTTTCTAGATTTTTCATACCTGATATAATTTGAATCTTGGAATGGAATTCTAGTCTGAGAAAGAAATCAATTTGTTTGTCAGAATCTATTATGTTTTTTTTTTTTTAGATCTTCAGTGAATGAATCAGAGACTTGGGACTCTTTTTTCTCATTAGATACTGGCTCCTCTTTAGTATCTATCTTGGTAGAAAAATCGAAAGTTTGATTTTTTGAATATCACTATTGTATAAAGGCTTGATAAAACATTATTTTTGATTGGCTTAGTAAAGGTTAGAATAATATAAGATTTTCCACGAACTATCATTCGAAATTCATATTTGTTTGTATCTAGAATTCCTTGAACTTTTTGAATCCATGGCGTTCCTAAACAAAGAAGGTAATCAGGTTTTCCATCATCAATAACAACATGTCCTGTTTCAGTAACCTATTTATTTTTATATTTTATAGATATTGGTACATTCTTATGTCCTCCTTCTAATTTCATTATATGATCAGAATTATGTCTAAGGGAAAAATTTGGTGCCATCCCAAGATTCCATCCTAATGCCTCATTTAGTACTTTATTCATAACAAGACATTCCGATTCTGTATCGGCAAACCCATCTGGAATAATTATATCTTCAATTCTATACTGCATATATTCAAGTGATTCGGGCCATTTATTTTTTGTAGATAGGTCAATAATTTTTTTTCGCATTGCTGGAGATAATAATTCTAATAACTGGTCATCCAATTCTGGAAAAAGGTTTGGCATAGTGACTTTTTCATTTTGTTTAAATTCTGTAACTAAAGATTTGCATGAAATTACTAATTTATTCTGTGATGTCTTACTTATTGTTGGTAATATCTGTTTTTTTTTTCTAAATAGAATGGAGAGGCATGCTATTAATTATCTTCCTTATTATACCCACCTTCATCCTCCTCGCTATTATCTGAATTAGGAGGTGTGTATTGGGGATATATTGGCTTGAGAGATGTAAAATATGATCGAGTATAATTAGATTGGA